TACTGCCAGGGGCGGGGGACTGTAATCCTACCTCTCCTACCTGGCTCCTGGGCCCGGGTGGGGAACGCAGGCGTGGGCGGTTACAGCTCCTGAGCCGAGAAAGAAGAGATGCCTGCAGAGGTCCTGCGTGGAAAGGGAAGTTCTCTGACCTGTCATTGCAGCTAGGGCAAATTAATCGGAAAGGCGTTGGTGAAGTTTTCGTTCTAATCCAAAGGGCTTCGTTTAAAAGTATTTTGAGACCTCCATCCACTATTAATTTATAGAAGGCTGCCCACCCTTACCCGTGACTGACTTCCCTTCATTCATACATTCATTCAAAAACGAGTATCTGTTGATGACCTAGCAGAGCATACAGGGATCGGTGATACTCTGTGACTAATCCAGGCAGGAGTAGCCATTGGTATGATTAGCAGGTGACTCATTCATAGTCCAGATCTCTCTTTTTTGAAGATTATATATAAGGTCCTAAGTACAGTTCTTCAAGAACCAAAGAAAACATTCATGGCTCCCTAGCAGGGAAAGAGATTAGTTATTATTGAATCAAATAAGATTGAGTAAATACAAAGAAAATTATGAAGCTTGTAGATTTAGAGAAGTGATTCAGTGAGGCAGAGCAGTGCTGGTGCACAGGTCAAACTGCTTATTGATAGCTATTAATGAAAATGATAGCATGCAGTAGTGAACACTTATTAAAAACCTTGTTCCTCAGAGCACTAAAAGTCTAGAAGAGAGATGTACCCTGTACACTTAACCCAGTTGATATTTTTGCTCCAACACCTACCATGATTTTCTGTTTCCATTTCCTCAAAGAGGATTCTTCATCTAGGAAAAATAAACAATAACTGAAGGATTGAAGAAAGGATGAAGGGGCCCAGAGGACAACCAACCAAGTGGGCAAGTACAGCATGCTTATGAGAAGCACAAAGAACGTTCAGAACTGTTCATCCTCATCGTGTTTCTTTGAGGGACAGTGAAAGCAGGACTGTTCTCATTATGTAATAATGGAGGTTTAGATATAGGGCACAAAAAACAGTTCATCTAAATACATTGAGTGCCTTATCTGGAACAGAAATTGCACATGCAAAAAAAGATCATTCTGTTCTGTGACTAGTTTTACTAGTAGTATTATTAGCTATAATAATATTTATTGAGTACTTTGTGTATATGATAAAAAAAGGCAACAATTTATGGATGGGGAACATGCAGCTGTGAGGCTGTAATTCACTCTGTGGTTTAATTTCATCTGTATTTATCTGCACATTGCCTTTGAGAGCAATTTCCTTTCCACTGTATATTTCCCTTATACCAGCACTGTTGAATAAGGTAGCCACATGTGACCATTTAATTTAGTTAAAATGAAGTAAATTTTTAAATGCTATTGCTTTATTACACTAGCTACATTGCAAATGCTTTGTAGTCATTGGCTACTGTAAGACAGCACAGATATAGAACATTTTCATCATTGTAGAAAGTTGGAGAAAAGTAGACCTGGTAAGAAAAGAGTTGATAAGTTAAAAAGATAAGTCATGAAGAATAGTGTTTTTAAAGGCTAGCAGAATAGGTTTAAAAAAAAAAAACCATCAACCCTCTTCCCTATGTTGGTGTTCTTCCTTGGCCCTATGTTGGTCTTGGTCTCTCTCTTTCCAGGTTTTTCTCTTACCTTTCCTGATTCTTTTTCCCCATTTCTGGCCATACAATTACTGAAATGTAATTTAAAATGGTCTCATTGATCGGCGTGGTGGCTCACACCTGTAATCCCAGCACTTTGGGAGGCAGAGGTGAGAGGATTGCTTGAGGCCAGGAGTTCGAGACCAACCTGGGCAACTTGGCCAGACCTCGTCACTACAATAAATCAAAAATTAGCTGGCAATGGTGACGTGCACCTGTAGTTCCAGCTACTTGGAAGGCTAAGGCAGGATTGGAAGGCTAAGACAGGTCAAGGCTGTGGTGGCCGTGATCATGCCACTGCACTTCATCCATCCTGGGTGACAGAGTGAGACTCTGACTCAAAAATATAAACATAGTTCCATCACTGCACATATTGAATAAAGTTTTGTGTTATCCCATTCTTAATTTTTAGTTAAGCTAAGTTTCACTTTTTCCTTTGACTTTTTAAAATTATGCAGTAATAGCCAAACTTGATTCCTTTTAACTTCTTTTATGACCCTTTCTTATTTTTTCCCCTTGTAGGTCTGTGACCCCAGTGGGGACGAGGGGGAGATTCTCTCTAGTTTTTGGAATAGTCTCTATAAAGAGACTAAACTAGGGCTTTCCATATGGTCTGCAGACTTTTTTGTCAGTTTGTGAGAACACAGTGTCTGCGCCTTTGTTATTGTTAGGAATTTACTGAAGATATTTATCCAACGGGTTGTTTTCATCCCATCCATTTTGGAAAGTAGTTTAGGCTCCTTCCTCTTCTCTTCTTCTCTCCTTCCCTCCTCCCCACCATGAAAAGCATATGGGAGAAGAGGTACCTTGTCTGCAATTGTGATCAAAATGTCAGGAAGTCTACCCCAGATTGCTCATTTTAAAGTGAATTTAGCTGGGCTCGGTGGCTCAGCCTGTAATCCCAGCACTTAGGGAGGTTGAGGTGAGTGGATTGCCTGAGCCCGCGGGTTCGAGACCCACCTGGGCAACTTGGCGAGACCTCATCTCTACAATAAATCAAAAAATTAACCAAGCATGGTAGTGCGCGCCTGTAGTTCCAGCTACTTGGAAGGCTGAGGCGGAAGGATCGCCGGAGCCCAGAGGGTTGAGGCTGCGGTGACCAGGAGCGGCCACTGCCTTCCAGCCTGGGCAACAGAGTGAGACTCCAACTCAAAAAATAAATAAATAAAAATAAAGTGAATTTAGAACTGTACAAAGGAAGCATGGCAAAATTACAATTAGCCCCAACTTTATTTATGCACTGTGAACCTGAACACACTACAACTTCGGTCCCCTCCAAAGTTTGAATAAAATCATTACAAACAGGCCTCCCAGGTTGGAAACAACCACAGTTTTCACTGCTATTTCTGGGTTCCATCCAGTGCCAGTGCAGAAAAAAAAATACTAACATTTTGGAAAAGCTGACATTTATTGGGCTCTTTCTGTTTGTCAGACACTTCATATACAATGTCTCATTCTAATTGAGAACCCTTTCAAACTCCTGCATTGTTATGCTTTCCCCCAAGTAATGGAAGTGGCTGAGGGCATGGCCCAACATGCAATCACAGAAGTGTACTTGTACTGAATGTGGGGTAAGGGAGGCACCTGGGCTTCACATCGTGTGCTGTTGACTCTGCCAGCCAGCTGGTACCCATGGCGCATCAGCCTACAGTGATTAGTAACACACGTAATATCCAAAAGGCATTTAATTCTGTAAACTTTGTCTTACACTGACTTTCTTTATGACTTTTCTGATATAGCTTCCAGTTTTCAAAAAAGGTCACCTACAAGGGACCACTTACTTTTTCTTACTTATCACACCAAGATGTGGATTGAATTTCTTTCCTAATTAGGTTTTTTTAAAAACTACTATCAATATTTCAAGTTTTAGACTGCTTTATAAAGCTGCTTTGCGTATCTTGAACTACAAATAACTCTAGCTTGGAGGTGGCTTATACCACCAAATACTATTTGTGGGTTTATGTTCTGCATCTTTTTTAATCCGTCATATGTACAGTGTAAACTTGAGTTAAATAGCATTTCTCTCTAGGAGTTCAAAGGCTTTTTCATTATGCAGGAATAAATTGTGCACCGAATTCTTTTTAGCCCTAGATTATTGAACAAAAATTTCCAGTGAAACTAGTCAGGACTTTAAATGATAAATGTCTACTCTCAAATATTAGAAGTAGGTAAGTACTACACAATAAAACCTTTGGGAACTGTAAATGTATTTCCTTGTGGCCAGTTCACTACTGAGAAGAACTTTATCCAAAATGTGCTATATGCCAAATACAATTTAATCTTTGTTGCATGAATATATTTTAAAACCAAAAGAATAAAGCTCTAATGGCACTAACTTAACACTTGTAATGAATTTAATGCTGAAAAATGTGGCACTGATAGTTCTTGAGATTATAATGTAAATTATGCATTCCCTTTATTAAACTCTTAGTGCCTAATATCTGACCTATAATAAACACTTAATAAATGTTAAATCCAAAGATTGAAAATTGATAAGTGCCTTATTCATTTAAAAAACAACTTTTGTAGAATTTATTATTTGTGTGTTTAGTGAAATTATTGCTTCTTTATTTCTGAGATTTCCATAGGAGTCTAAGGAAGTATCTAAGACTCTTAACTTCCATTTGTTTTGGTAAGTGATTGGCAGAAGTGATTTCATTCTCCCTTTGTAGAGCTGAAGGTCACATTTCTATACCTATTATTTTAGGTAGCTATTGAATTTGTAGGAAACCAAGTATAACAATTTTCCTGTCATTTTGTTATGTCTTCATTAATAGAAAGTTTTAACACTATTAAATAAGGAGTTGTGAATCATCTGAAAGATATTTTCTTGTGAATTATTGATATAAAATATCAAGCATTTTATCATATCTATTAAATATATGAAAAAGATTTAAAGGATTATAGTAGCCTTAGTTTGCAGGAATGTAGAGTAACTAACACTCTTAAACATTGCTTTTAGGGTCAAAACTCATAATTTTTATTAAAGTTTTAAACTCCTTAAAATGTTCTATACCATTATAATTGTCACTTTATCCCTCTTCTTCCCTCTGTTCAGGAATTCGGAATATCCCTGCCATTT